TGAGAGAGAGAGAGAGAGAGAGAGAGAGAATACGTCAGTAATAAGCTTTGATTTACAGTAACCTCTTCAACATTACTCAGTATCCAAGTGGATGTCATGGAATCAGTGAGACATCAGTCAATCTGAAGTGATTTATTTTAAAAAAACATATCACAAAACACTGACATGGGCATCTTTTTTTTTTTTTAAATCACTCGTCACTACAGTTATAAAACAGAAAATAATCAGCAACAATAGTCAGCAACAATGCTTTTCTTGGATTTTCTGTCTTGTTTACAGTCCAAATATCTAAAAACCCTAAAATGAAGAAGCTTTCTCTAGACAAGCAAAGAAAATTGTATTGTTTTTAGAATTAATGGCTCAAAATTAAGTGAGTTTTTCCTTAAAGCAAGTAAAATAATCTGCTAATGGAGTAAGCAAAATAATCTAGATTTTCCTTATGAAATTAAATTATTTCACAGACCTCATTGGCGGATTATTCTGCTTGTTTCATGGAAAAAACTCTTCATTTTCACATAAAATGTCTTAAATCAAAACTATATTTTTGACTTGTCCAAAAATGCTTCTTTGATTTAAGAATTTGTAGATATTTTAGACCAAAACTCCACGCCAGAAACACATTTTTATTCGCAGATCATTTAATATTACGAACGATTTCCAACACATACTTTTCCACGACGCTTAATCTGTCGGATATAGACGTTACAGTATCCAGCAGCACTTTCAGCTCCTGTCGATTTAGACGATATGCCTTTGTCCAGTCCGCCATGGCTCCCCTCAGGCGGCGATATTCGTTTATCATCTCGGCTATATATTTTCTGCGCAGCTGCTCGTCCCGGAGCATAGATTCAGTGAGCTGCTGGATACAGAGCGCTATAGTGATTTTATCTTCAATCTGGGCGTCAGGATTCAACTTCTTGCAGTCAGGATTGGATTTTTGGGCGGCAGAATTGGAGTTTTGGCCGTCAGGATTGGAGTTTTGGGCAGCAGAATTGGAGTTCTGGCCATCAGGATCGGAGTTTTGGTCGTCAGGATTGGATTCTTGGGCATCAGGGTTGGACTTTTGGGCATCAAGATTCATTTTTAGGGCATCAGGATTGGATTTTTGGGCATCAGGATAGGATTTTTGGGAGTCAGGCTTGGATTTTTGGGTGTCAGGATTCAATTTTTGGCTGCCAGGATTGGATTTCTGTCTGACTGGATTCATTACCAGAGGAAAACTGAGAGGTTTACTGAGCCGTTTCTCCAGCTCATTCAGCAAACATTGGGTTTTGTTGGCGAGATATACCAAATAATTCGTTTCAGTAAGCTTTTCACTCTCGATCCATAGCTCTGCACCTCTTGTGTCGTAATCCAGGATGTTTTCCGCTGTATTGCAGGAGTAGAGTTGTATTAGTGTGTTTGTGATGATTAAAACTGATTAAAAAAAATAAATAAATAAACAAAAAATGCTTTTTGATTATACTGTAAAAATACTGGGTTTCACACAATCACTACATGAAGGATTTACCTTAGCTTGTTAGCTTTTAGAAATGTAAGTGGATTGAACATAAAATAATTAAGTTTGAGAGTTGTGTGATTTCAGCTAGTTTTAAATAAGTCGTTTGAACAAACAGCAAATGTCATATGCTGAAAAAAAAGCCGGGTTTGCACAACTCCTTCATGTTGGTCACAACACAAATCGATTGAGTAAACAAATGATTACAAATTTAAGTGGATTGAACATAAAACAATTAAGTTGTCCCCAAATAAAAACACCAAAGGAATTGTGTTGTTTCAGCCCATTTTACATAAGTAGCTTAACCAAACAGCAAAACGTCAAATTCATAAATCAAGAAGCATTTTTAAACGATTAAAGAAATAATTATCATTATTCACTCAAAAATACATTGAATAAACGTACGTTATATATTAGGAATGCATGATATTGGATTTATTGTCGATATCTGATATGCCAATACACTCAAAAAATTACTTTTGCTGCTTGTTTAAACTACTTCTTTAAAATGAGCTGATTCAACACAATTCTTTTGCGTTTTTTGAGGGCAACTTAATTGTTTTATGTTCAATCCACTTAAATTTGTAAAGACAATTAAGTTTGTGTAGGAACATGAAGTGATTGTGTGGAACCCAGCATGTTTTACAGTGCAGATTTCAACTAATTTGCACCAACACCAATATTTGAGTCTATGTATAGTTCAGAAAACATTTGATTCTCTTTGTACTGGAATCATTTTGGGCTTTTTAAAGCAAAAGCTGTATTTATTTATATATTTAGGCAATTGTTTGTTTCAGTTTCAGAGTCTGAAGAGTCTTGTTTAAACATAAGATAAAACAAAACAATGAAGTTGTCCCCAAAAAAACTCAAGAATTGTGTTGTTTTAGCTCATTTATAATAAGTAGTTTGAACAATCAACAAAACAACATTTTTGGAGTGTTGTTTCTAAGCCAGATATCTCAAAACTCGTAAATTAAGAAGCATTTTTAGACGATTAAAGAAATGGATATGATAAAACACACACAAAAAGCTATTTGGTGTCTGTTCAAACTAATTATTCAAAATGAGCTTAAACAACACAATTCTTCAGACGTTTGAGCGACAACTTAATTGTTTATTGTTCAATCCACTTTGAATTGAAAAGACTAATAAGTTAAAATCTCGTCATATTGTCCCAACACAAATCGATAGTGTTGAACCCAGGGTTTTTTACTGTGCAAGTCAAAATTAAGAGAGTTTTTCCTTAAAACAAATGAAATGAGCTATAAAAAAAGGGGGTGAGTCAAATATTCTTATTTTAAACTGAAAACAATATTACAGTGTTTATCAACATTGGCAGATTATTTTACTTGTTTTAAGGAAAAACTTAGATTTGACTCATTATTTCTGAAAACAAAACATTATTTTATTCTTGTCTAGGAAAATTCTCCTTAATTTAGGATTTTGTAGATATTTGGATTAGAAACGGGACAAAAAAGCTTTTTTTTTTTTTTTTTCGTTTTTGCAGTGGCATCAGCAGAATATATTTTACAATGCAATTAATTATTTTTTTTATATTTACATTTATTCAATAAGTTTTAAGTTCTAGTTATTTTACTACATCAACTTAAATTAAATAAACATTAAATTAGTCATATTAATAAATCAAATGTTTTCTTAAATTATAGCCTTTGTCTTGTTTCTAGTCAAAATAATCTAACAATGAGGTCTGAATACTCTGTTGGGATGTCAAAGAGATATTTTTGGGGGGGTTTGGGTTAGGAGGAAACATGTTTCATATCTTAATCATTCATTCATTTTATTTTCAGCTTAATCTCTTTATTAGTCAGGGGTCGCCACAGCGGAATGAACCGCCAACTTATCCAGCATATGTTTTACACAACCTGTCCAGCTGCAACCCAACACAGGGAAACACCCATGCACTCTTGCATTTACAGACATACACAACGGTCAATTAAGCTTATTCAATTCCCCTATAGCGCATGTGTTTGGACTGTGGGAGCACCCGGAGGAAACCCACGCCAACACAGGGAGAACATGCAAACTCCACACAGAAATGCCAACTGACCCAGCTGAGGCTCGAACCAGCGACCTTCTTGCTGTAAGTGCAACCACCGGCCACCGTGCCGCCCCCTAATCAGGTTTCAACTTACTTTTTTTTTTTAAGTTACACCAACTTGCATCAATTAAGCACTCAAAACATCAAGTTGATTTGTTTCACTTAATTCACTTTCTAAATTATGTTAAAAAAAAAAAAGCTGTCATGACTTTTTATTTTGTCATGTATTTACTGTGTGCCATTTTTATACTATTTGGCTTAAAAAGTCGAAACAAAAGCGATAAGTGAGAAAATATTCGATTTACTGATAGAGTTAATGAAGTTATTATTCAGTTTAACATGATTCAATGCAACAACTGAAACTCAAAAATGTAATAGATAAATATAATTCATTCATTGTCCTTCAGCGTAGTCTCTTAATTCATCAGGGGTCACCACAGCGA